TCCTAGGCAAATACAGGAAAAGCTGTTTTCCTTTTAACAGACTGGAAAACGACCAAACAAATTCTGTATTAGTTTACTGTCGATTCATTTATCTAATTAAGTGTATTATTCAGTTTACCTATACAGTAGGTCCTTGGGTTACGGCGCGATGTAACGCGATTTTCGCCATAAGTCGGAACCCACCTATATAAGCGCCTACGTCACTCACATGGAGCACATACACAGCAGTAATGAAGTGAAACAGTAAAAAAAATTTAAAAGGAAAATAACAATTCCTGACCTTTACTTCTGGTAAATAAATAATAAAAAAACAAAACACATATGTACATACGTCAAAATGACGGAACTTTTTTTTTTTTTATAAATAAATGGGAGGTGGCAACATAACCACGAAACGACATACGTCAAGTCCAACATAACCTGAGGACTTCCTGTATATTTCTTTTTTCTTCTTCCTCCATATAATTTGTTCTCAACTTGCACAGCTCCTCTGCAATTTTCCTAGTCCCTTTCAGTTTGTTTTTTTTTACTTCTTCTTAACTCATTCAGAGATAACCAACTTAAGAACCATCTATTTTCAATTCCATATTACTAAAATCATATAATTTCTTTCCAATGTAACTAGAATTTTAATTCTTAGAAACTTTGACCTTTTTGGTGACAAGTAATTAACATTCCTCAGATTAATAATACATTCACGTTTTTAAGAGTTCTATTTAAATAAAATATAAGACATATTCATTTACAGATTCAAAGCCAAACATAGGCAAACATATTAATATTTCAATGTCCTGTCATTTCAAAATACTTAGATATATAATAATTTTTACTATTTAACACAGCAAAACTCCGAAGTTTTAAGTTACCCAAAACCCTTCATTTTAGCCCAGCTGGTGTGCTCAGTGGTTGACCATCCACCTATGAACCAGGAGGTCATGATTCAATTCCCATTAGACGGCATGCAGAAACATTGATCAGCTGCCTCCTGCACACCCCCTACTGGGGATGTGCCCGCAACCAAGGTACATGCCCTTGACCGGAATCGAACCTGGGACCTTTCAGTCCACAGGTCGACGCTCTATCCACTGAGCCAAACCGGTCTCGGCAACTCCGAAGTTTTAAGTTACCCAAAACCCTTCATTTTAGCCCAGCTGGTGTGCTCAGTGGTTGACCATCCACCTATGAACCAGGAGGTCATGATTCAATTCCCATTAGACGGCATGCAGGGGGGGTCAGCCAGTTGATAAGTCTCTCTCATCATTGATGTTTCTATCTCTCCCTCTCCATTCCTCTCTCTGAAATAAATAAAAACATTTTTTAGAAACCCTTCATTTTAGTTATATCTTTTTATTATGTCTTAACTTTATGAAATTTTAAAACCAATTATTACCCAAGGTATTTTCTTGGCAAATTTTGTAACAGGGATAACATGACCTTGACAACTTTTAGGGGGCTGGAAAAAAGGGGAGGGATGGGGGACAGAAGGAGATAACAGACCCTGCAGCTGTTTCCAAGACTGCAACAACTCCTGGGCCTCCAGCTTTAATGTGAAAGTACCTTTTTTTTTCCTTTACAGAGTGGGCTGCTGCTTTTGCAGCCTGCTTGAGGGCTCTTCTGCAGCTCCAGCCCTTCTAGGAGAAAGACTTGGGGGGTTAGAAGGTTTATTTCCATATTTTTCTTCTTGAGTAGAATCCTTGTGATGTAACAACATGGAAATCCTGCATATAAGAGATCTTATCCTATTTCAAAACAAAACAAATCCTATTTCAAAAGAGAAACAACCTCTAAAGTAAATAAATGGTTATTCTCGCCCTGACCGGTTTGACTCAGTGGATAGAGCGTTGGCCTGCGGACTGAAAGGTCCCATGTTCGATTCCAGTCAAGGGCATGTACCTTGGTTGCGGGCACATCCCCAGTGGGGGGTGTGCAGGAGGCAGCCGATCGATGTTTCTCTCTCATCGATGTTTCTAGCTCTCTATCCCTCTCCCTTCCTCTCTGTAAAAAATAAATAAAATATATTTTTAAAAAATTAAAAAATAAAATAAAAAACAAGTGGTTATTCTCAAAAGGTGGGACTGGGGCATTAGCCTGAGAATCTTATCTCACACTTACCCAGCAAGGCAGATGACCTTCTTGCTCTTTGGTCTGAGGGTCTGAAGGATCTGAGTGGTGGAAAGCCCAAACAACAGGGACAGAGGATTCCCTGTGTTCATAAAACAGCGAGGAGCGAACTAAGTCCCCAAAAGATAAGAAAGCAAGCAAAGAACATCAGAACCAAAGATACATTACAGACAGAAATGAGCTCTTACTAGCTAAACGGTTCAGGTGGCTGATGCCTTGAGAGGGAGAGCAGGGAGGGTGTCCGAGGTTAAGAACTCTAGGCAGATGCTGGGAAGTTCCTGCAATCCTTGCTGTGGGTTCAGCCTGCCACAGCAGCTGAGGCCCCCAGCCAAGTGGGATATGCCCCATCTTTAAACAAATTAAACAACAGAGACACAAAATAACAATCAACAGAGACACTTAGGTACAGTATTTACAGGGTACAGTATTTACAGGCGTGCACAACCCACAGACAAGAGCTTTACACTGTACTTCTTATCTATCCAGCCACAGAAACCTCAGAATGCCCTGTGTTTAAAAAAAACACTGAAGCAAAGCAATGTCTCTCATCCCAGAGCCAATCAGGCTACGGGCTTGGGGACTAGGCAAGGACCAATAGAGGTCTCTTGCCACCCAGAGCTGATCAGGCTTGTCCAGACCAGAGGCAGTAAATGCCTCCCATACCATACACAGTGAATGCTTCCAGTGCCTTACAAAGAAGCTCAGATAAGAGGCAGCAAATGCTTTTCGTGTCATACAAAAATGCTGGATTCAACTTAGGTCTTAGGTGAGATGACGAGGATTGCTGAGGCTGCGACTGGGACTCAAGAAAATTCCTGGCAGTGCTGCAAATAAAAGAGTCCAGGCCTCAGCCCCAGGAACTCCTGGTCCAGGCAGCAAGTGGGATCCCCGGTATTCACCCCAAAGGAGTCCCCCTCTTGTGATGTCACCAGAAAATGAAACCTTTGTTTTTAAATGAGAAAACAAATAAATTACTTAGGAATAATGTTAAGCAATGGAAAAGGCATCATAGAGAAATAGTTTCAAGAGAGACAAATCAGTATTCCGTTTACATTTTTAGGCTCTGTCTGGTTTTGTCAGATTCCTTAGAAATTCTAGTATCAATCACCTAGTATCTGGGATTCTAGTTTGCACTGATGAATCTTGTGTGTCCTCAAGTCTAGATGGGAAGACATTTAAATAATACACATCGGCACCTATAGAAGATAGTGATTCAGTGGAAACTTGGACCAGGGTAGGCAATGCAAGGGATTGTTGATAGTGCAGGTTGATAGTGCTAGCACTTAGGTCACTCTCTTTCTAACTTAAAAATGAAGGAAATACATATGGTTTTTGTGAAAATGTAATGAGATATGTGTGCACGCTAGTGCCAGACACATTGTAAGTGCTCAACAGATTTTAGCCATTATTATTTCTAATTGAAATTCATGGGGAATAGGAAAAGGAAACCTTGTCAGAGGCAGGAGAAATCAGGGAGGCCTTCCTGAACATGTGAAGCTTGAACAGAATCTTAAAGGACCAGTAGAGAAGAGATGAAGGATTCCGGAAAAACAGCTTGAGCAAAAGTGCTACAAACAAATGTGTAATGCAAGTCAGGAAGACTGAAGAGTCCTGTCTGATGAAAGTGAGGGGCGTGTTTATATTTTAGGAAAGGCTAGAAATAGCAGGGCCTGATGATTGGGGGGTGTTTGAACTTGATGTGTTTCAGCTGGCAGAGAGGGAGTAGAAACCTAGGAAGCATTAGTGAGCTGGTCTGATGGCATTAGTGAACCAGACATAGGTGGTGAGTGCCTAGACCAGGATAGGGACAGTGAAATTGTAGAAAGGGTAGGTTCGTTTCTGAAAAAGCACTGATTGGATTTGGTGACTTGATTAAATATAGAGAAGGATGCACGAGAGGTGGCCATTTTTGAACTGGCTTTCTTTCAGGATGTCCGCTGTGTTGGCTGAGGACCCAGGAGTCTGCTGGGTTTTGTGTGTGTGTGTGTGTGTGTGTGTGTGTGTGTGTGTGTGTGTGTGTTTAATATATTTTTATTGATTTCAGAGAGGAAGGGAGAGGGAGAGCGAGATAGAAACATCAATGATGAGAGAGAATCATTGATTGGCTGCCTCCTGCACACCCCCTACTGGGGATCAAGCCTACAACCCAGGCATGTGCCCCTGACCAGAATTGAACCCGGGACCCTTCAGTCCGGAGGCTGGCGCTCTATCCACTGAGCCAAACCAGCTAGGGCATCTGTTGGTTTTAGGATCACTTGTGGGTTGGGGAGGGAGCGGTACATTTTGTTGCTGTTTGTGTTTATTGTTTAGCAAACTATAAGTAGCTTCCAAGGAACCTTTAAACTTTTCTTCCCTGGAATTCAAGGGATAGGAAATGACCCTCTTGATGGGAGCCTGAGAATGCCAGGAAAGCCATGTCTGTCTCTTACCAAGATAGGCCTGGTATTAGAGAGAAGGCTTCTTCATATTCCCCACATCCCAGGCCCACTGCTTACTTAGGCTGTGTAATCTTGGATAAATTCTCTAATTCCTCTGTGCCTCAGTTTCCTTATCTATAAAATGAGGTCTTAATAGTACCTCAGTCATAGTGAATATGGGATTTCAGTGAGTGACTATACACAAAGCAACTAAAACAATGACTAGTAGATAACAAGCACTAAGTGTTCACTACTAATATTATCACCACTCCCTCTTTTTAAATAAAAATCCTGAAAAAAGTCCAGAGTAGCTCTCTTGCCCAGGACTAGATTGGTTTTATAAATGGATACCTGCTCATCTTAATGTCATATACAAAGAGATGAGTGGCTGGGTTGCTCTCAGAATTTCTGCTCCTGTGTTGAGTCCCTTAGTCTTTACTGTATTCTTGTCTGCCTGTGCAGGTGATTTTTTATGATAGCGACTGGAACCCCACTGTAGACCAGCAGGCCATGGACAGAGCCCACCGCTTGGGGCAGACAAAGCAGGTTACCGTGTACCGGCTCATCTGTAAAGGCACCATTGAAGAACGCATTCTACAGAGAGCTAAGGAGAAGAGTGAGGTAAGCATGAGGCAGAGGAGGTACTACACGGTGAAGAAAATACCAAGTCCCACCCCATTGACTAGACTAAGACTCTCTTGCCTTTTGTTGGTCTGAAGGGGCTAAATTTTTCCTGGATGGAAAATAAAATCAGGAGGGGGAAAAAAAAGAAGAAAGAAAAAATCAGGTCCTATAACAATACTAACCTCTTACTTCCCTGGCTGTTTCTCACTCCTTTTCTACCAGAATGGAGTTTATCGCCTAGATCTAGCTGTTGTTCATGTGGAGAGGACACTAGTCATGGCCCTCATGCTTGTCATACTTTCACAAGCTCTCACCCTGGTTCTCTCAATCTGATCAGGTTCTGAATAGTGGCCAGATTTGTTAATTTCCAAAGAAATTGTCCTTTCTCTTTAGAAAGGAATAAATAATCTAGATGAGCCAGTCAGCAGAATGAAAAAGAAAATAGGGGCTCCAGGGGCCTCCCCGGTAGAAGGAGAAACATGTTTCTTTCTTTTGGAGGTTTGCCGTTATGGAATAGATGCCTGGGTGTGACATTTTGATCTGCTTTGTGTAGATTCAGCGGATGGTGATTTCTGGTGGGAACTTCAAACCAGATACCTTGAAACCAAAAGAGGTGGTTAGTCTTCTTCTAGACGATGAAGAATTGGAAAAGAAACGTATGTACTCTAAACCTCTTATTAATGTTCTCTCCTCCCTACAAAAGATGTTTCTCTGGCCCCACACGTCTGAAAATGGAAGAGACCCTTGGCTGTGTGCCAAGGGTAGGCAAAGCCAAAGACTTTATTTGGGGGGAAATATTTTTATGTTAATACTAGAGGCCTGGTGCATGAAATTCATGCAAGAGTAGGCCTTCCTTCCCCCAGCTGCCGGCACCAGCTTCCCTCTGGCACCTGGGCCCAGGCTTCCCTCGCAGTCCCGGCTTCGTCCTGAAGGACGTCTGGTCTAATTAGCATATTATGCTTTTATTATTATAACCAAAATAAAGATGTGTTATGGAATAGAAGGTAAAATTCCTGTAATTTTTAAGTTAATATGACTTTAAATAAATTTGCACCAGGAAGGCTATATCCTTAGACTCCTCCGCAGTAATAATTTTACTCTGTTCTGCCCAGAGAAATCTTTTTATGGAGAAGAAGTGCACTGCTGTAACATACAAACCATTCTCCCATGTATTACTAGCTTTTGAGAACAGTGGGTTTCAGACTCACCTTGTGAGCCTCTGAGAACTTACGTAGCATCACATGATGAAGCTCCTTTCTTATGTGCTTACATTTGCCACCACCTTCTGAAAACCTTTTGGGACTCAAAACCACACTTGATCTGTGCAATGCAGAGATACTGAATGACTGAAAAATAAAAGAGAAAAAAGAGCAAAAGCAAAGAAAGGCCCATCATAATTAAACTGAATCATAGTTTGAGCCAAAAACTGTTAAGAATCCAAGAACTGCCCTTGCCTGTTTGGCTCAGTGGATAGAGAGTTGGCCTGTGGACTGAAGGGTCCCGGGTTGGATTCCGGTCAAAGGCACATGCCCAGGTTGCAGGCTCGATCCCTAGTTGGGGGCGTGCAGGAAGCAGCTAATCAATGATTCTCTCTCTTCATTGATGTTTCCATCTATCTCTCTTTCCCTCTCCCTTCCTCTCTGAAATCATTAAAAATTAAATAAACGAATGAATGAATGAATCCAAAAACTCTTTTCCTTCTCAAAGTTAGAAAACCACCGGTTGGCTGACTTGGACAGATAGAAGTCATACTTTGGAATATAAATATCAAAGGATGTGGTCACTTTATTTTTTTTTTTTTAAGATTTTTTAAATTGATTTTTAGAGAGAGAGGAAGGGAGAGAGAGAAACATCGATCTGAAAGCACAACATCGGCTGCCTCCTGCATGCCCCCCTCCCAGGGTTCAAGCCTGCAACCCGGGCATGTGCCCTGACTTGGAATTGAACCAGTAACCCCTCAGTGCACAGATGATGCCCAACCAACTGAGCCAGACCAGCCAAGGCAGGATACGGTCACTTTATTTATTTATTTTTTAAAATATATATATTTTATTGATTTTTTACAGAGAGAAAGGGAGAGGGATAGAGAGTTAGAAACATCGATGAGAGAGAAACATCGATCAGCTGCCTCCTGCACACCCCACACTGGGGATGTGCCTGCAACCAAGGTACATGCCCCTGACCAGAATCGAACCCGGGACCCTTCAGTCCGCAGGCTGATGCTCTATCCACTGAGCCAAACCGGCTAGGGCAGGATACGGTCACTTTAATTTCAAAATGAGAATTATGATTGCCCCAGATACTTCATATGATTTTTATTTTCTTAATAGTACGATTGCGGCAAGAAGAGAAACGGCAGCAGGAAGAAACCAACCGAGTCAAAGAGCGCAAGCGCAAGCGGGAAAAGTATGCGGAGAAGGTATCTCAAGTTTGGGGTGGCTGACAAGGACTGGTGGGGTGCGAGGCAGTACCTATAGAAAAGGCTTCGGAATACGTGCCTTGCCATCTTGGTTACTGGTTGGTTATACAGCTCCAGCTGTGTTCTATTCTTACTGATATTAAGAGGTCATTAGATCCAATCCTTCTACCATGACGCTGCTAGTGTACCATTCATTCAGTGTCCTTTACCACTGGAAAAATAAACCTCTGCCCAGCTTAGTCTGTGCCGTTTGTCTCCCTTATTTCAGGAGTTAGCCCATTAGTTTTGACTCATTTATTATATGTCCAAGGACTGTTGGTTTGGAACTACTTTACTACCTTCTAGTAAGGTATTTTTTTGGTGGGTTTGGCTTACCTTTGGGTTGTACTGCCCTTCTCATCTTCATCTTCCCCAGCCCTGGTTTGCCCCACTCTTGAACAAGTTAGCCACCTGAGCTTCAGGCATCTCGGTAGCTTTGGGCCCTCAAGTCTGACAATTGCATATGCTCCATTTCCCTGGACTTTTTGGTTTATCTGAAGCATATTGATTGGCCACATGTTAAAATTGGTTGTTTTAAGTGGAGGTCAGCTTCTTCCCTTTACCCACACTTGTATTGGACCTCGTGTCCCTCAGGGCCATACAGCCTTGATAGTCAGCAGCATAAGAGCCTGTGTATATTATATCATCATCTTCCAGTAGATACACTAGCTCTTTCTATTGGAAAGCCCACACCCTAGATTGTACCTCTGCTAAGCAGCACTGTTTTTAGCCTGAAGGATGCCCCCATTACAGTTTGTACCCACTATGGTTACAAACCTGAGAAGTCCCAGAAATGAAGGATCATATTCCTGCTTAGCCTGGGCTGCCATCTCTACCCAGTTCCTCAGATTCTCTTGTATGACTCCATCCTCAAATCTCTAACCCATTACTTAGTGCTATTTAGAATTAAAATATTGTTGACATTCAGAAACAATATCAAAGGAGGGAAGATTGTTTTCTCATACAGGACATTGTAGGGTTTACTGGGTTTGCATCAGATGCCATCCTTACTCTGAGCATAGAAGTTTCAGATAAAGACCCAGTGACAATATGACCTACACAAAGATATACCTTTTTGTTGTTGTTAATCCTCACCCTTGGATATTTTTCTATTGATCAATAGAGAGAGTGGAAGGGAGAGGGTAAGACAGAGAGAAACATCGATGTGAGAGAGACACATGGATTGGTTGCCTCCCGCACATGTCTCAACCAGGGCTGGGGATCGAGCCTGCAACCGAGGTATGTGCCTTTGATCCAAATCCTCTATCCACTGAGCCAAACCAGCCAAAGATATACCATATTAACCCTAATACAGGTGCAGAAACAAAAGCAGTTAGGTGGATGTGAGTCCCAGAATTTTCCAAGCACATTGTGTGATTGATTCCAGGTCCCTAATCTAGACCTGCTAAGTGTAGCTCAGTCACTCACCTCTTAAGCTTTTACATATAAAGTGAGGAAATATGACCAAAAAATAACAAAAAAAATTATTCCTTGTGTATGATAAGAACCTTCATTCTCTTTATGCATATTTAAAATGAAGGCAGAGTAAAAACAGATGTGCAGGAAATATGCTAATGGCATTAGCCCTCCATCTTGTAAGACTGCATCAGTGCAACCCCCGGTGAGTGCTGCAGCTCGGACACACACGCCAGAGCTGGCTGTGCACTTTGCCCCGTGAGGATTAAGCTGGGTGCAGCTTTCAGTGTGACTAGCCTACCTTTCAACTCTGTATTATTGTGGTAGAATATACATGAACTCTTTTTTTTTTTTTTTAATATATTGATTTTTTTTAGAGAGAGGAAGGGAGAGGGATAGAGAGTTAGAAACATCGATGAGAGAGAAACATCGATCAGCTGCCTCCTGCACACCTCCTACTGGGGATGTGCCCACAACCAAGGTACATGCCCTTGACCGGAATCGAACCTGGGACCCTTCAGTCTACAGGCCGACGCTCTATCAGCTGAGCCAAACCAGTTAGGGCTACATGAACTCTTTTTTTAAAAGAATGTATTTTTTATTGATTTCAGAGACGAATGGAGAGAGATAGAAACATCAGTGATGAGAGAGAATCATCTATCGGCTGCCTCTTTCTTACCCACACTGGGGATCGAGCCCACAACCCAGGCATGTGCCCTGACTGGGAATCGAACCATGACTATCTGGTTCATAGGTTGACGCTCAATCACTGAGCACACTGGCCGGGCTACATGAACTCTTATTAAGCCATCCCTTTCCTGCTTCCATAAGAGTGTTTTTAAAAAAAAAATACATTAATTGCAAAAAATAAAACCTAGTTTAAAAAGTCAAATTTATTCCCTGACTCCACTTTTCTTTTGGTGTATATCCTCCTGCTTTGTCCATATGTCTTGTTTTGTGTGTTCCCAGAAAAAAAAAGAAGATGAATTGGATGGGAAAAGGAGAAAGGAGGGTATGAACTTGGTGATCCCATTTGTTCCCTCGGCTGATAACTCCAACCTCTCTGCTGATGGGGACGATTCCTTCATTAGCGTGGACTCAGCTATGCCCAGCCCTTTCAGTGAGGTGAGTCTCCTTTTAGGTGCCTTCATCACAGCAGGGGGACTGTCCTGACCTTGTAGTGGTTGCTTCTCCTGAAGTATTCCTGCCTTTTAGAAGGAGGTTGCACATAAAATCCATAAGAAAAAGAGCAAATGAGGGCAGGCTGGCTTCTCTGGAATTAAAGCAGGGACCTAACCCTCAGGAGTTAAAGCAGGGACCTAACCCTCAGGAGAAGCCAGGCAGGAGGGGTAAATAGTGGCAAGACTTGAGAAGCACGTCCTCACATAGGTACCAAAGCACAGGGAGGAGTAGTGATCTCAACCCTTCCTCCTCTAGATCTCCATCAGCAGTGAGCTGCACACTGGCTCCATTCCGCCTGACGAGAGCAGTAGTGACATGCTGGTCATTGTGGATGACCCAGCCTCTTCAGCCCCGCAGTCTCGAGCCACCAACTCTCCCGCTTCCATCACAGGCTCTGTCTCGGACACCGTGAACGGTGAGTGGTGCTGCTGTCCCCTACAACTTGGATCTGGACCACTGCCTCAAGGAAAGTGTTGGTTTAGTTGTGGGATGAGGTCCTGATTCCTTCTAGGATAATGGCTTTCTCTACTTCCTTTAAAGAGAAGTAGAATGGAGCAAAAGGAATTTGTAGGGTCGTCCTTTCATTAGCCTGTCAAGTGAAGGGAAAAGAGAAGGTTAGGGAAATCAAAATAAGAATTTTATAAAGATTTCACACTTCCTTGTTTTCTAGTCATCCCAGCCTTTCATATTTCACCCTTATTTCTGCTAGTTCAGTTAGCTTTGGTGGGCCTTTCCTCACTTTGTTCTATGGGGCCCAGGCTTCTGTGTCTCGAGAAGCTCTAGGGCTAAGCTTGGGAGTACAAGTTGACTCTCCGAGGCAGGTGCATTGGAGTGTGCAAGTGGGTCTCAGGTAGCCAGTCTCTGGGGTCCACTTAGTCATGATCTCATTAGAGAAGAGGGTCGGGAGTAATGGAACCGCTCTTGAGGAGTCGGCCTGCTAGCTGCTTAGAATTCTTACTAACTCGGTGTGACTTGGAGGCCCAGCCATTAAATGAGGACATAGACTTCCCTTGAAGTCCTGAAACGAACACCCTTAGAGCCAGCCCTCCCTGTCAGGGAAGATTCTGTTAATATATGAAGAGATTGACATTTTTCCTCTTGGCCCATTGGTTTCCACAGGAATTTCCATCCAGGAAATGCCAACCGCAGGACGTGGTCACTCAGCCCGAAGCCGAGGCCGCCCCAAAGGTTCGGGAAGCACAGCCAAAGGAGCAGCGAAAGGCCGGAGCAGGAAATCCACCGCGGGCAGTGCAGCGGCCATGGCGGGGGCCAAAGCCGGGGCTGCGGCAGCGTCCGCGGCCGCCTTCGCTGCATACGGGTACAACGTGTCTAAAGGTACGGAGGCCTGGAAGCTAGGAGGGCCCCCTCAGGGCAGGGACAGTCTGCTGAGCATTCGACCAGGAGCAGGCAGGACACCCCAGTCCAGGAAGCTCCTTCCCAAAGCCCATATCGGGCTCTGCTTCTGCGTTGAGCAGTCCTGACTCTCCCTTGTCCTGTGACTAGTGCAGGGCCGCCTTCGAGGTGGAAGTAGCTGTGAAAAGAGAGCTGAATTTCTGGACTGTCTACTTTAAACAGTCAGAATTGTTTCTGCTTTGAGAACAGATGTTTTTCCCAACCCCCATATGCAGGCTAGCGTAGTTAACATTTACCCAGCAATGTGGTCCATCACTTTAGGTATTAAGCACTTGCTGTGTGCATAGGATATAACACATGGACCTTGCTCTTGGGTATATAATAGAAGTAGGAAGGGAAAGCTGTACATGGAATATGTTTAACAGCAGTACAAGGCAGTATGTGTACACTGAATGAAAAGAGAGAGGCCTTAATTGCGGTTGTAGATCAAAAGGAGGAACCACGGAACTGATGACCAAGTAGCCAGACTATAATTCAGAAAGGAGAAGGGTGAGGAAGGATTTGGACTGGCGACGAAGTTGGCAATGACCAAGGCGGGCATATTGGGGGTTACCGAGCAGGTCAGTCAGGCTGCTTTGAAAAACAGCAGTGGGAGTCAAGGTTGGCAAGACTGGAGGGGGCAAGAGCTTACCAAGGATTTAACAATGGGCTCTGGAAATTTTGAGAAAGGAGATGGCTGTTGTGACCATGACAAGTGGGGGAGCAGCTGTAGCAATGGAATGTAGGACATCCGAGTTGGTAGGAGGGGAGCTCCTGTTTACAGACCTCTCTCCCCATTTAAAACATGGTCTCAGTATTTGGCTCATAGGATTTTTGTAGCAAGTAAGGGCTTTATTGAGTAGAGTACTGAGTAAGTGCTAGTTCACCTCCCCTTCCTCCTCCTGTAGGGATGCCAGCTTTCACTTATTTGTTCATTGAACAAATGTAAAGATAATAGCCTAGGCCAGTGTTTCTTAACCCTACCACGTCTTTGGAAAACAACAATCTTGCCAGCAGTCAAGGCTGCTGTGGCAGAGTCTCACTCATCAGACTTTCTCCTGGAGCCCTGACCTGAAGAGGGCAGGAGGGACGAAGGAGTCAGCAAGGGCTAGAGTGTCAGAGAAAAATCAATAGTGCTTGCCTTGGCCAGGTATCTCAGTTGGTTAGAGCAGCGGTCACCAACCTTTCGGACCTCACGGACCACCAGTGGTCTGCAGACCATCGGTTGGCGACCACTGGGTTAGAGCATCTTCCTGATGTGCCAAAGTTGTGGGTTTGATCCCCAGTCAGGGCACACACAAGAATCAACCAATGGCCCTGGCCAGGGAGCTCGGTTGGTTGGGGTGTTGTCCCGTACACCAAAAGGTGGCAGGTTTGATTCCCTGTCAAGGCACGTACCCAGGTTGCAGGTTCGATCCCTGGTCAGAGTGTGTGCGGGAGGCAATTGATCAATGTTTCTCTTTCTCTCTCCCTTCCTTTTTAAAAATCAACTGATAAATGCATAAGTAAGTGGAACAAATTCTCCCTTTCTTCCCCTCTCTCTCCCCCTTTCTTCCTCTCTCTCTCTCTTAAAAAAAAAAAAAATACATTAGTGCCTAGAAAGTTACAGCTCATCCCTCACCCTTGGCTTCCCCACATGGTGTAATGTGTGCTCTGTCCTTGAGCACCAAGATGTTACCTTACTCCCTGCTGACGGGTCATGTAGGCAGGGCTGGGTAGGTGTCATATTTCTATTTAAAAAGTACATCCCTCTTACTGAAAAACAAAACAGTTGACAGGAAGAGCAAGCAAATGTGCTAAGAAGAGATTGGCAGGAGGGGTTGCCCACGACCTCTCCTCCAGTAACCAAGGTCATGCCTGAGGCAGCTCAGACAGGACTGGCGCTCACGTTCTTGTCTCCTTCTCCGTCTCCACAGGAATCTCTGCCAGCAGTCCTCTGCAGACATCTATGGTTCGGCCTGCTGGCCTTGCTGACTTTGGACCTTCAAGCGCCTCTTCTCCCTTGAGTTCCCCTTTGAGCAAAGGAAATAATGTTCCTGGGACACCCAAGAGCCTCCACTTGACCAGCAGCCTAGCCCCAGACTCCCTGGTCCGGAAGCAGGGCAAAGGCACCAACCCGTCTGGAGGACGGTAACCACCTAGGCCTCCAGCTTCCTTCAGCCAAACCACATGCTAGAGGTCTAGCCTGCAAATGGTCTTTGGATGGCTTGCCCGGTGCAGCATCTTACATCCCAGGTCAGAGGGCAGAGGTGACCAGTTGCAGCAGGTGAAGGACGGCAGGTGGTTAGTTGAGCACTTTTATCACCTGTGGCTCAAGAAGTGTGCTCTGGGGTTGCCTATAGGAAAAAGGCCAAGGACGGGGATCAGCCCCGCAGCATCTCAGATGAACGTCTTAAACCTCATACGGGGAAGGGCCTGACGGAGCCCCTGCAGGTGCTCAGGCACACTGTCTCCGTTCCCATTCCGCTCTTCAGCTCTGGTCCTGTCCCTTGCAAAGGCTTCACAAGTGTGGTGAAGAGCCTTCTGTGGTGGAAACTTCTTTTAGAGCTGGGATTTCCTATCGGACTAGGAAGGGAGGAAATCATGTATCTGGCATGCCCAGTCTTTGGGTAACTGCCCAGGTCTCTAAACCCCATTTGTCAGAGTGTCACCGTTGGAGAGCAGTGAGTGCAAAAGGCAGTAGTGGCCTGTGAGGGTGACAGAAGCTAGAGGAAGCAGGCCTGGAGGCAGTTGTTTTCCTAGCGTTTCCTCCCCATCCTGCATGGTTCACACCAGGGAACCTTCAGGTCCCACCAGCAACAGTAGCAGCAGCTCCCACTTGGGACTCCCAGAAGCCAGTAAAGAGACCAGGAGCCACCTCAGTCAGCAGGACAGCCTCACGCCCTCTCACAGGCTCCCCTTGCCCTTCCTGAATGCACAGTCTCCCCGCCCTTGCCCTTCAGCCCCCTGCTTGGCTGTATGCACTGTCTGTATTGCACTGAGAAAGGAAGGGACAGCAGGAGTGAGGAGGAGAGGATGGAGAGGGGGCGAGCTCAGCACCCACCCTCCCAGCCCCGCCCCACAGCCTGAGCTTGCTTCCCTCCAAGAGAGGCTACGGAAGGTGTCTGCATGGGAGGTGTTTCTGCCTGCCCGGCCTGATGTTCCTGGTGGAGCAGGTGCTTCCAGGCGAGCCAGCCTCTAATTTGCACACATGAAAATCGCGGAATTGAATTTAGATAGATTAATTTTTAAAACTTTTTTTGGAGTAGGGGTGGTAGGGGAATCATTTAATTTAAATCATTAAGATTTCCCTGCCTAAACCCAGACTCCTATGTACAGATGCTATTTAGAGGGAATCAGAAAAATGCCAAGCCTTTTTTCTCTTTGAATGTGCTGTCTATTTTTATAACTGAACTTGTACATATGTATAAAGAGAGACACATCTTTCTTTTACTAACTGGAGAAAAAAATCTTAAATAAAATGGAGTGAGATAATTTTATGTAAATTGGAGTGTCTGTGGTCTTTGCAGCTGCCTCTCCTTAGGGGTATTTGGGTTTTTGGTGGGGGTGTATGGCAGGATAAAGGGGAGACAGCCCCAACCTCATTCCTATGGTCAGAAGGGACAGGTGATCAGTGGGACAGGGATGTTTCTGTGACATTTCTTCTGTAGTATCCTTGATGGGATTTATGAGTTTGCCTGGCGTGCCGAGGCCAAGGCCCTTGGGATGTGGTCTGGTTACGACTAGGACCTAGACTCCAGGGCTTACCAGTAGGTGTGGGCAGCTTGGCCAGTCCCCCATCAGGCAGTTACATCGTGGTAACTCTGACGAGTTCTTTCTCCTAACCACAGCAACAGAACATCCTGCGTGTGCAGTGCAGGGTGGGCAAAAGTAGGCTTATAGTTGTTTGTATGAAAAATAGTACAAAAACAAATAATAATACAAGAATAAACTCTGTCTTGTGTACTCACAACTGTAATCCTAATTTTGCCTACCCTATATATAAAATCTCCATCTAATAGCAACTTCCTGGTCCCAGTTTCTAAAACTGTGATATGGCCTGGCCGGTATGGCTCAGTGGTTGAGCATTGACCTAAAAACCGGGAGGTCACGGTTGATTCCCCGTCAGGGCACATGCCCGGGTTGTGGGGTCAATCCCCAATAGGGGGCGAGCAGGACGCAGCTGATCAATGATTCATCATTGATGTTTCTATCTCTCCCTCTCCCCCTCTCTGAAATAAGTAAGAACATATTTTTTAAAAAAAACAACAAACAGAAATATGTATACAAATACATGTGTATAAGCCCCAGAAAGTAGCCCATTTGAAGTCTCAGTACACACTGGATCCATTAAGCCAGCAGAGATACTGTAAGTCCTCTAACATCCTTGATAGGTTCTTGGAAACTGAAACTTTAAGCAAAATGAGTATAAGAAAACCAATTTACCATATGTTAAGTGATATAAACAAGAATTAAGTTTCTGTAGCATATTTGTGGTCACAAAACATCACCAAATTTCTAAATAAAGTCCCAAAATATTTCTCATATTAAACATTGGAATAAATATGAGCTATACATAAATTTAATAAAGATTCATAAAAACAAGATAATTATTTTCCAAACTGCTTATTCCAGTTCAGGGTCTTTGGTGCTGGAGCCTGTTCCGGCAGCTCAGAGCGCAAGGAAAACCCAACCCTGGACAGGATGCCCGTCACAGGGCGCACTCAGCCCCCCACTCACTCAGTGCGGGACAACTTAGACCCACCCGTTCCGACACGCACGTCTTTGGGATGTGGGGAAACCAGAGTACCCCGAGAAGCCACGCCGACATGGGAGAACATGCAAACTACACAGACAGTGGCCCCGCCGGGAATCTTCTTTTCCTCTTCAACCTTATAATGAGACATCTTTGCTCGAGGACCTGCTATATGCTATAAAACATACTGCGACAGGAATTCAGTATTCTCAAGGTTAGCTGTGCTTGTAAGAATCACGAAAGAAAACAGTGAAATAGGTTACTGGGAATTCCAAAGACATCCAGGCTTTGAAAACAGCTCTCTGATCAGTTGGAAAGAGTGAGTTCCCAGCCTGGACAGGCAGTTGGTGTTTCTCTGAGCTAACACACTGGCATGCTCTTGCATCACCTGTGAGCAGGGCTCACACTGTTCCCAAGTTTGCTGGCAGTGGCCTCCCGAGCTTTGGCTCACCCTGCACACCCGGGAGAGGTGGGCTGGCTCTTGGGCACCTGCTGCTCCCAGTCACAAGGCCCGGCCTTCTCATTTTGTTGATCTCCAGTGGCACTGTCAGGTACACTGGGTCTTGTTCTTGCTGGCAAACTTGACCAAGGCCTCACACAGAACAAACCCGTGTCAGTTTCCCAACTCACTTTGCCCTACTGTCATCACCACTGTGGCTTCCAGTCAACAAGCCCACTAGGATGGGTTCTCTTCAATTACTACTCAGCAAGGCCCCTGACAATCCTGCCAGAGTCTTGCCGAGGCCGCACGGCCGCCTCTGGGGATCTGGCAGCTCTGAGATCCCTGCATGGCTTTGCCCAGACGTGATAGGCTAGTGCTCTCCAGAAAAGCGTGTTAAGTTTTGGATCAGAGCCTTCCATTCTCCTCTGACCCCAAACATAGGACCATACTCCCCTTTCAGCCATTTTCAATTCAATCCCTGAAGAAACAGCCAACAGCCTTAATGTGCCTTCTCACCTGTCCCTCCCTTACCTGAGGGTAGGGGGATGGAACTTGAATCTTAAAAGTGAAGGTTTCAAACTCTAACAATTTCCAGTCCCGAAGTTACGATTCATGCCCTGTCTACCCCACTTTCTGAAGACTTGTCCATCTCCCATGTGAGAGCTAGTTTACCTTATGAACCAGGGGGCCAGCCCCTTAACATACAGAAAAGCTGGGAGGCCTCCCACCCAGCTACAAGAAGACACGTCCTAGAGTGCAGGTGTGGGCTCCATCACAGTGAGGGCCGACCCTTCAGCCACAGGCTCACCTTGCCACGGGAGCCAGCTCTGGGAGTCCCAGGTCAGGGGGTTTGAAGAGTGTGGATCTGTCGGAGCAGTCCTGGAAATGCAGGGCCTGCACTAGGCTTACTATCAATTTCTGTGCCTAGAGCTTTGTTGAAGCACCCAGGACTCTGGAGACCCACCTGGGACTTACATGGGTCTCTCTGGTCCTGAGGGTTGGGCTGGGCAAGGAGGCTGGTAGTCCGCACTGAGCAATGAGCTGGGTTTTTCTGTGCAGCCTTGCCCTGGTGTCTGCCAGCCTGTTCCATCCAGAAAGCCTCACTGCTGGCTTTCAGATGCAGTCCACACACCCTTGCTTTGGTCCCTCACAGCATATCACCTGCCATTAGAAACAGTTCCTTAGCTCCCGAGGCCCTGGCTGGTGCGGCTCAGTTGGTTGAGCATCGTCCCATACACCAAGAGGTTGCCAGTTCAATTCCAGGTCAGGGGACATGCCCAGGCTCCATCTCCAGCAGGGGACGGGCAGGAGGCAGGTGATGGGTGTTTCTCTCACGTCCATGTTTCTTTCTTGCTAAAATCAATAAAAACATTTTTATAAAATACCAAACTGAAGCCCTAGTTCGTTTGGCTCAGTGGATAGAGCATCGGCCTGGGGACTGAAGGGTCCCGGTTTTTATTCCGGTCAAGGGCACATACCTCGGTTGCAGGTTTGATCCCCGGCCCTGGTTGGAATGTGTGCAGGAGGCAACCAATTAATGTGTCTCTCTCACATTGATGTTTCTCTCTGTCTCTCCCCCTCCTTTCCACTCTCTAAAAATCAATGGAAAAATATCCTCAGGTGAGGATTAACAAACATAAATAAATAAATACCAAACTGAGGAGCTTGGGCAAGATGAGTGGGTTTTAGCTGGCCTCTGGCGTTTCAGAGATCCTCACATGTGCCCCAAGGGTTGTCGTGAGTGATGAGCTAAGGCAGTGATGGCGAACCTTTTGAGCTCGGCGTGTCAGCATTTTGAAAAACCCTAACTTAACTCTGGTGCCGTGTCACATATAGAAATTTTTTGATATTTGCAACCATAGTAAAACAAAGACATATTTTTGATATTTATTTTATATATTTAAATGCCATTTAACAAAGAAAAATCAACCAAAAAAATGAGTTCGCGTGTCACCTCTGACACATGTCATAGGTTCGCCATCACTGAGCTAAGGGGACATGAGCCTCCCAAATGGACTAGAGCAGCTCTGCTTTCTCCTACTGCAGGTAAAGATTTTGGGTGGAGTTTAGCTGTAAGAGAGAGAAAAAAAGAAACCTCTAAATCATTCCTTAAGCAATGCTTCCCAAACTTTTATATGCATATGAATTACTTTGGAATCTTCTTAAAATGCAGATTCAGTTTTGGAAGATCTAGGATGAGATCTGAGACTGAATTTCCAGCACATCCCAAGTGATGGCCTTGCTGCTAGTGCTTGGGCCACACCTGGAATTACAAGGCTTTAGAGCACCCTCCAGCCCTGCCAGTCAGAATAAACTGACCGCTGCCCCCACCCCAGCTAGGCAGCCCTGTGTGGGAAATACAACTTTATTTTTCCTGTTTTTGGTCTTAATCCACCTAATGACAGAAAATGAAATCTTAGCATCTCCAGGAAAATGCAGTCCCATATGTGTTTTCTCGGGGGTTTTTTTGTTTGTTTGTTTGGGTTTTGTTTTGTTTTTAACTGTTAATTCAGAGAGCATTGGAGATCTTGCTCCCTCGCACATATCATGAGTTTGACTCAAACACATAAAATTTCAAAAAAAACTGTCAATCCATGATTTTCTCCATCACCTTTCTCCCCTGGGCAGCACCTCTGTTAGACATATAAGGTACAAGAAAGGGTCTCTTATCTGCTGTCTCTCTGTCCTGTGTGGCCTCCACCAAGAGGTAGCCTCTGTAATTGCCGGCATTCCCTGGAGGGTCTGTGATCCCTGGAGTCTCTGTTTTCTGCTGCTTGTCTTCTTATCATGACCACCAGACTCCTCAGGGTCAGTCTTTCTGAGTGAATTCCTGAGCCCTTCTCGGGACATGGAGAAACTTGGCTGCTTCTCTGAGGCTGCCGGAGTGTGGTGAGGCCGTGCAATTTGGGAGGCAGCCGTGGTCAGTGCCGGCTGCCCAGTTGAGTCATCTTCATGATGCTCATTCAAACCACTTAAATGTGGAGGGCAGGGTCCCTTCTAGAGAAAGCAGGGCCTCTGGCTATCTTGAAACCTTGGGCCCAGGCACTTGCTCTATGGTAGTAAATGGTGCTAAGCAAGGCACCTGCCCGGGGGAGAGGCCCCCACATGGAGGCTCCTGAGGATTCTGGATGCAGGCGCTTGGGCTATTTCAGTCCTTATGGTAATGACCTACCCATTTGCACCCAGGAAATGTCTGGGCAAACAGTGCCAGGACTGGGCTATGGAGATGCTAATCCCAGGTGGCAGCCCCCAGGGCTGGGTGATAGAGGAGGGAGAAGGAAAGATGAGAAGGAAAAGGAGGAGGAGGGAAGACATGCCTGAGGCCCACTTCCTGGGTGTTGAGGGCCCTGAGGAAGCTGGGTGCCTCCCTTATCACCAGGCCTCTGGCCTCTTCCTATGATCTCACTTTGTTTTGGTTTTTGGTTCGAGACACATGGATTGCTTGCCTCCCACACGCACCTCAACTGGGGCCAGGGATTGAGCCTGCAACCCAGGTACGTGCCCTTGACTGGAGTAGAACCCGCGGCCCTTCAGTCCATGGGCCGAAGCTTAACTACTGAACCAAACTGGCTGGGCCCTCTGCTCCATGTTGAACTCCTGGTTCCCCACTAGCTACTGCCCCAAATGAGCATTTTACTTCTCTAATTACTTATGGGTTTTCTTGCTCATCAAAATAAGGATACGAAGTAAAAGCAGGACTGGACAGGGGAAGTTACAAAGCTCAAGATGATATCTGTTTCCCACGGTCCCTGGTCCACAGTTCTTGGCACCTTGAGTGAGAGAAACAAAGATCCCTGAGTGGGAGGCTTCCCAACTCCTAATTCCCTCCTTGGAGGTAAGAGTTCCTTCCCCAAGTGCAGGGGAATGTGCTCCTGTGAGCAGCCCTGCAGGGCCTGTGCCTCTGCCCACCGGCTGGTGGGATCTCCTTGTGTTGGGTCCCAAAGCTCAAGAAGAAATAACCTGGCCTCAAGGCTCGGTGGCCTCTCTGGGTCTCACCTGGACTGGGCTTAGGCCGGCAGCCTGTGAGGGAGAAGGAAGCAGGGACACAGAGGGCCCAAGGAGCCAGCGGGGAGTTTTCTAAGCCCCCAGACGGCTGATGGCCCCCAGAGCAGCTCTCTGGGAGGATGTCTCACCCCTCACTGCCACCAGCACCCACCCACAAACTTCACCTGAGTCAGGCCCCCCCCTTGCCTATTCCTGCTGCCAGAGGAGAGGGAAGGGGCTTCCTTCCCATTTCCCAGGTGAGGGGTCCCGAACGGCCCCGAGCAGCTCCGCTCCTTGCACCTGTGAACCTTGAGAAGGAAGATGTCTACCAAGAAGGACTCCCCATGGTTAACTGGGCTCAAGTTTGTAACCAGAGTCTAACAGCCATTGCTGACAGAGGCCTGCACTGCAGGGAAAAGCCGTACCCGGAGCTTTCAGCCTCCTGCCTCCTGAGTCAACCCTTATCAGGGAGTTCCCAGTTTCCGCTTTCTACTGAGACTTGCCATCCATTCAGAACTGCACAACTTGGACCAATCAGAACTGTACAAATGTAGATGCTTCATTTCCACTTGGGGATCTGGGCGGGGAAATTCCCCCATAAAAGGCAGCCTTCCCTCTGTCTTGGGGGAGCGCACTTTCAGTTTCCACCTGAGGCTGTGCTTCCTGGGTTTGCAAACTGTTCAGCTGAATAAAATCTCTCTCCCCACCTCGGGTTGGTAATTGTTGTTGACACACCCTTGAAAAGCCATGATGCCATGGGCCTGGGAATGTCTGAGGAGGGCAGTCTGCGGGAGGGGGCAGGGGTTTGGGGGCAGTGCAGCACCCTGGTCTCAGTTTGCACTCAGCCCAGTGGGTTTGGAAAAAGCAGCATAAACTGTTACCAGAATCTTTCTGAATAACTAGGTCTTTCAGAGAGCTGACATTTAATTCTTTGAAGCACCAGGATTTATCTTGGTTAGAACTCTCTTTACTATATATATTAAATATATATATTTTTAATATATATATTTATATATTTTAATTGATTTCAGAGAGGAAGGGAGAGGGAGAGAGAGATAGAAACAACAATGATGAGAGAGAATCATTGATTGGCTGCCTCCTGCACGCCCCCGACTAGGGACCGAGACTGCAACCTGGGCATGTGCCCTTGACCGGAATTGAACCCGGGACCCTTCATTCCGCAGACTGACACTCTATCCACTGAGCCAAACTGGCTAGGGCTTTAATAGAATTTTTTTATGTCATTGCTTAAACAAACCATACAGAACATATTTTTTCCTGAGGACCTGGGTCATGTGAGCGTCCAGTGGTCAGGTCCCCTATGATACGACTGCCATATGTCTAACACTAAATGATGCTGACAGCTACACTGCTGCAATTTAGTCTGCTTTGAATAGGACCTGTGCAACTTCAGTGTGTTACCTAATTCAGAACTTCTGAACCAATGAAAGGTATTCTGAAGGAGGAATTGTGGGATCTCCTAGGAATAAAGTAATTGAGCTCAGTGCCTGCCTCTGTCAGTCCTGCCTTCTGGTCCTCTGTTGGGCTCCAGTACCTTAATGTTCTAGGTAAGCCAAGTGTTCTAGATAGGCATGTTCTGGTTTGAACCAGTTTACTAAATCTCTCTCTCTCTCTCTCTTTCCATTTATAAATTTTAATACCTGGGAACAGGTCTGCCAAGGGGTCTAGGCGATAGGTTGGTGCACGCTCTCTACTGGAAGGCAATCTGAAGGCATTGTAAGCAACTACAGTCCATCATTCAGTGAGAGCGAGGACAATAGAACAGGTGATCTCCAAGGCCAGTGTCATTGAAGCTGACCTGGCCTTCCTCCCTCCTCCGTGCTTCACCATCATGGGAACAGGCGGTCATCCCTGGGGACTAACTGCAGATGGACACTTGCTATTGACATTGGGCTGCTGGGGTTCCCAAGATGGAAATAAAGAGGAAACCCCAGAGAAATTCCCAATCAGGTGTTATTAAGCTTATGCTCCAGCACCAGGGAGGCACACAGGAGAGGCAGGGCCTCTGAGCTGGGTCAGGGGCTGGCCCTGCTTGGCTGCTTTTACACGCGGGGAACGAAGCAAGCTGTTCAAAAAGGTGAGCTTTTTTGAAAAAGGCGGGCTTGTGGAATTTCCCATTTCAGTGGTGGGTGACTCCCTTTTCCAGCTGTGCTGCCTGGTATGTTTGCACCTGTGCTGTGGGGGCAAGATGGCAGCCTGCTCGTTACTGCCACCTTAGGCCGTCCTACAACGACGAGCCCTGACCAGCTGCGGGTCTGCTGTTTAAGCAGGTGGTGAAGCTAAAAGGGAGGTAAGACCAGGTAGCTCTG